AGAAACATCAGTGTTACCTGAATGTTTCCACAAATAATTACCAAAATGGTAGATAACAATTTCAGATTATGCAGGTAATCAGTATCCTTATTTCTGATTTCTTAGATGAAACAAATATCTCTCAGTGAGAGTATGTGCATAGAGAAGATAAGATTTTTAAGTGTTAAAAATTCCTGCTCTCTTAGTTCACACCTCCTGTTTTTGAGGGAAAGTACATGCCTTAAAATGACAAATCTCTTCCTGTCAGAATTAGCAAAATTGATTCTTTTCCCCTTTCTGTATTGGCATAAGAATATGGGTTTCTTGCCTGTGTAATTTAAACAAATATGTCAAAATTGCCTTTTTCTACCAAAGTAGAAGCTGTCCATTTCTCCATGCATGTGGATTTCTTATTTGTTACTTTTCTTCCTTACTTTTTGAAGAAATTTCCACTAATTGACGTCACACTTGCCTTTCTGCTTCAGAAAGGTTGCAGTCAAATAGTTCTTTTTGCCAGTTTGTTGAGTTTGAGGGTTTTCTGTTTGTTAAATGCCATTAGAAGCTGTGTGCATCTTGGCATGTATTAGATGGATATTGTTACTTAGATCACTGGATCTGTGTTTCAGGCCTTAGTCTTACAGGTGTTCTACAACAATATCTCACTGCTTGGTAGTCTGCTGTGCATTTCTTCCTTTTCAAAGTTTATGCTGAAAAACCTAAGTTGAGTCTCCTTTGAATGTTTTGCCAGTACTGTTTTTATCGGATTGGAATAGCAGCAAATAAAGCAACAGTGAACATAAATATGGAAAAGTAAATACATTGTGCATTGCCTACATTTTCATTCATTGTATCACTTTGCTTTGATTGGTCAGCCTTTGAATTTTGCATTAGAGAATGTTTTGGGCTATGAATATTTATTAACTGCTTTCAGTATGACCCTCAGAGTGCTTTCCCCACATTTTACACATTTTTCAGTCCTGATATATAAGTAGCAGTGATCTTGGATAAGACCTGACTGGCTTAGAGCGAGCATTTGCAGGATAGCAGGGCCGGCAGAGTATGGATTTCTTCATCTGGGCTGGACAGATCGTAGCTGGTAGGAGGAGACTGGTTTGATTTGCTAGTTGCAAATATTCAAAATAAGGCAGTAGCTTCCCTGGAAAGCTGTAGTGAAGTATTAGAAGTCACAGGTGAGTTAGTGGTTATAAAAGGCATTTGGTGCTAGGATTTTCTTTAGTGATTAATATGTTTTTCTTCTCAATCAGATACTCACCTGTTTAGATGTCATTTTGGATCACTGCTTGGTTGTAATTTTTGCATCTTTCTGACCTGTCTTGACTTAGAATTGCTTGAAGACTCCGCAGCCAATTCCCAGCTGTTGATAGTGGTTATGATTTGGCTACCTTACCGTTGGTTTTCAGAGTAAGACAAATACTTAAACAGATACCATTTCACATGTAAAGTGGCAGATTGTGAATTCTGATTTTCGACTTTCTTCTTACTTCTTCGAAGATAATTCTGGCTTTTTTTTAAACACCCTTGATTTCCGTTCAGCATGTTTTTAGTCACTAGTACTTTTTTTTGCTTTGTTTGAGTGGTATCATAAGAGAAGAGTTTGAAAGAAGATTTACCAGGCAATAAAGTAGGAAGGGAAAGTTGGAAGAATCAACTGCTTTGATTTGACTTCAGTCTTGTTTTATCGTACCATTAAGTAGTGTCAAGCTGGTGTAATGAGGTGAATGAGATATGCAGCACAAATTATAGCAAGTATTACTGTTATAGTAAGTATTCTTTCAAATAATTTAGTAGCCAAGTGCACCAAATTATTTTTGTACTGACAGTGTTCTGAAATTGCCACCTTATCTAAGGTTTGACTACACCTGATTTATTACAGATGCTGTATTGCCACGATACAGACTTATAAATCCAGTAGCATGATCAAGTTCAAACTTGGAAAAACAATATTATTCCACCACTTTGAAATTTCCCATGTGATTGCTATTGGGGCTGAGTCTTTACTTTCTGTCCTAAATTACTGTGTAGCGTATATATTCTTAAAGAGCTATTGTATTTTACTGAAAAGTAGTTGGTTTAGTACTGGGTGACTAGTGTGTATGAATACACAGATTATTTTTTTTATTATTTTGTGATTTTGTTTTCTTTTCAAAGATTTTTATAAACCAGGGAATGACAATATTCATATTCTTAGCATGGGAGTAATGACACCCAATTCTAACTTTGTTTGTCTCTGACAAAGTGTGTTTTACACAAATACACAAAACCATGTGTATTTGGTGATGGGTATGTTGCATATCAACCTTACATTTTACTGCATAGCAAATCATCTCAAATGCTCTACTGAGGTAACCTGGACAAATCTGAAGCTCTGTGAAAACTGCAGTGTTTTCTTCTGCTTCTTGTATTTCTTATGTTTCACATTGCTATCTTAATCTGCCATAGGCTTTTATAACCTAATATTCTTGATTTCTATGCTTGTATTAAAAAAAGGGGGGGGGGGCTGACAAATATGTATTTATTTTACTTTGGATTTGTATTGTTAGCACAACTGATATAATGGTTTAACATGCATATGCTAAGCAGCAGTAATTTGTTCTCTGATTGCACTGTGGAAATTAAAATTTATATGAGACACATTTCCAAAATGAAGCATTCAACTGATATTTAGTTCATGTTTGTTTTCTCTGAAGTTGAATACAACTTTTAGTGATGGCTATACCTGTAAAGTTACTATGCAAACATAGAAACTTCCAGTTACATGGATACCTCAACACTGTGTCGGTCCCCAATGGATAAAAAAACATTGTTGCTTTCCTCTTGTATAATTCAGGAAGGTATAGTGCTGCCTTTTTTTTTTTTTTTTTTTTTTTTTAAAGTTTAAGATGTTTCAGATTAGATCAATTCAGCCGAAAAGGGAAGGCCTTTTGCAGCTCTGGTCGTGTAGCTGGCTGGGTAGCAAGTAGTCATCGCTATCATATGTGATAGCGTGGCAGATGAGTAGATAGATAAGTTAGTAGCAGTTAGAAAGACTTTTCCTTTCCTTCACAGACGGAAAGATGTTTCCACTCACTACAGATACTGTAGAACTGCAATTTTACTTTTCAGTCTGTGCCTGCATCTAAGTGCCAATGTTAGCTGTGTGATTAGGAGGTGTGTTATGAGCCCAGGGCTTTGGAGCCACTGCTTGTGGTGGTTGAGCGATGGATTTTGTTGGGGTATTGTGTAGGCGTTTGAGCCTTAAGAGGTGTGATGAGCACCAGCATGCAAATGGAAGGTTTAGTGCATACAGACATGTTGGAGTGTAGGCTCTCAAATGCTTTTGTGCTCTGAGAGCCCTTCAGTGCAGAAGTGCAAGGTATAATACCTGTGGTTGTGGGGGAAGAATGGGGAGCTTCTGTGTCAAAATGCTGGGTGCCTGGATCTGTGCATCCACACTGTGTTATTGTCAAATACCTATTTTTAGAGTGAGTGTCTAATTGGTATTCATGCAGATGGGTGTCTCCCTGTCTCATCTGATCCACTCATCAGAGTGATGCACTTGGTGGGAGGTGTCTGCTGATGACTCTTTCCTAAGCAGAGTGTGTTTGTGTCGGTCTGTGCTCTCTTACATGTATGCATGTGTTTAATCTGTTACATGAGCGTGTGTGTAAGTATGTGCATGCGTGTTTGTGCATTTACATTCTGTATGCGCTGGCATGCTCAAAGATAGTATTGGTTAATCCTCTAAAAAGACTAATTTGAAGAATGAAAGATGCAGAACTTGCAGCCCTTCAAGATGTGGTTTTTCTCTTTATGCAAAGAATCAGTGCAGAACAGTACAGATTGTGGCCATGGAAACTTAGCTACCTCAGTCCAGACTTCAAGAGATCGCTCTTAGTAAGGTGATGCAGCCAATCATGAGTAAGAATGATGATCTTTCTGCTGCCTTGACTACTACAAAAGACAGCATACAAGTTTGTGTGCTAAAGGTACAAATTCATACAAGTTCACACTACAAAAGTAATTGTTAAGTAGAAAACCTTGGGTGCAAGTGCTAGCCATTTTGGGCAGATGTGATTATTTTTATGAGGGGAAATACATATGTACGAGAGGAAAGATCCTGTGTCTGTTTCCACCCTGTGGCAAACTTGTTGTCTGAGTTTGGACAAGTTAACTTTTTCTTATATGTCAGATTTGGGGAAAATACTTGCCTATTATATTGTGAATTAAGAAAGATTTAATTCAATAAAATTGTGTGTATATTTAGGAAAAATGGGTTATGGTAGGCAAAGCTTTAACTATTATGAGCTTAATATAGTCTATTCCACCTCAACATGGTAGATATAATTATCTATATATAGTATTATGCATGATCTTGGTGTTTAAAAATGAGATATGTAATCCTAGCTCTAAGGAATAGGATTCATTATAATGTCACTTGATGCAAAAAAGAGGCTAGGCCTCAGAGAGAAATGAATTTCTGCCCAAATGAAGATAATCACAGTCCTGACTTTTCCAGATGATCTAATTAAATTGCGGTTTGTATGTGGCATGAAAGAGTATTCCCTTTTAGCTATGATTTTCCTCTTACCTGACACAGTAAACCTACCGGATGCTGGGTAATCTTGATGAAGGGTCCCAAGGTTATATTCCTTATGTAGTAAAGGACTGAATGTGATACAGCTGCTGAAAAGGCTCTGTTTCCTTTGAGTAGATCTTAGTTCTTTATCTGGGAACACTTTGGATGCTTTGGGTAAGACCATCCTAGCAGTGTTACCTTCGGCAATGTCCCAGCTGCTATCAGCAAGGACAGTCCTCCCAGAGACACAATCATAGGCCTTTTGGGATGATTCTCTCTAGCTGTGTATAAGGTATATGAAGTAGGATGATTTTCACATAGGTATTTGTGATAGGGGGAGAAGTAGAGGAAGGAATGCAAATGGATGTTTCTGTTCATAGACTTTGCACTGTTTATATCTCAGGACTTCCCTTTCTGCTCCTTTCTTCTCACAGATACCGCTTCCAGCATCATGGCCTCTGACCTGGAAAGCAGCCTCACTTCCATAGACTGGCTCCCACAGCTTACTTTAAGGGCTACTATTGAAAAATTAGGGGGTTCGTCACAAGCAGGACCTCCAGGAGCTGCCCGAAAGTGTCCTCCAGGCTCACCGACAGATCCCAATGCCACCCTGAGTAAGGATGAGGCTGCAGTGCACCAAGATGGGAAGCCACGTTACAGCTATGCCACTTTGATCACATACGCCATCAACTCATCACCTGCCAAGAAGATGACTCTTAGCGAGATCTATCGTTGGATCTGTGACAACTTTCCCTACTACAAAAATGCTGGTATTGGTTGGAAGGTGAGGACTTGCATTGCTTAAGTACCCTTTTTGCCTCATTACAGGTCTTATTTTCTTAATTTGGTGCAAAATATCCCCACTAAACAAACGACAGATGTGAAACTGAATTGACCAACTGGAGAAAATGCAGAGTGAGAAGTCCCATTTTGTCTGAGAATTTTGTTGTATATATATGGTGGCTCCTTAGGAAGGAGCATGCAGAAAATCTGCTACCACACTACCAAAAACCAAGAAAAAAAAAACAGCACCCCCCCAACATCACTACACACCTTTGCATCACACTAATACTATGTTCCGTGCACTTTTGTAGAGGTGTAGATGGTTCAGCCCCTTGTTACTCATACTAATCCATCCCTCTCCTTTCCACAGCTTCTGTTCTTCTCCATTGCAGGTAGATGTAGTGAGCTTTGGCTTTTTAGTATGCACAGTCTTTCTCTGTTTTCTCTCCCTGTTCCCGGGCATATTCAGAAGGCTGTATGTTTTTGTGGTAGCACTTACCTGTATCTCTTACTCTCTCACCAGAACTCTATTCGTCATAACCTCTCTCTGAATAAATGTTTTCGGAAGGTGCCTCGACCGAGAGATGATCCTGGGAAGGTAAGAAATCTGCATGCTCCTGGGCCAGCAATTTTAAACTGCAGGGAATAAGCTGGGGTTGCCCTTTCTAACTCATGGTTGGAATTTGAAACCTAAAGTGTAGGCGAAAATGGAAGCAGTAGTAAGATTTACTGCAGTGCTTTGGCTACAGAAGCATTCACTTAAAGGGAACCTGTAAAGGGGCCGTAGTGGCTTTAGCAGTTATTTTTTTTTTGTCCGTGATCTTTGGTTGACTTTAAAAATACTGGAAGAAGGAAAAACAGGTGTTGAGTGTACTTTGTTAGTTTTATTTCTTTTTCTTCTTGATCTTTACGTGTAAAATGTGGGTCTAGTCCAACCTGTTCTATTATCAAAGACCGTAGTGGCTATTGGTGAATAGCAGGACTATGAGGTGACACCATGGGTTTCATGGAAGTGAGAGCAGAACCGCTTCTTATTCAGACTGCAAAACATTTGGTATTGGGCAAAAAATTTCACCATCAGATAGTTCAAATCTGTAGAATCCAAGTAAAACTCAGGAATTTAGGAATTTGTTGGCTAAGTAAGGGCTAATAAAGCTCTCTTAATATATATAGATTGGAAAGGGGAATTGCTAGCAAAAACAGGACTTGCCATCTTGGCATGCAGATACTAATACTGTTAAAAAAACAACAAAAAAAGCCCCAAACAAACAAGCAGAAGGAGATGGTGGGGACAGGAAGCCATGTATTTAGACAGAAAGATTGTCTCCTTGCCCCTATCCTAAAGTTACCAGAAAGGGCCACTTGCTCAGGCCTTTTTTTTTCAGGTTATATTTGAAGGACTAAGTGGTATTCAGCTGGGATATATAAATGGAAGTAGTATCACAGAATCACAGAATGTTAAAGGTTGGAAAGGATCTCAACAGATCATCTAGTCCAATCTCCCTGCCAGAGCAGGATAACCTAGAGTAGATCACGCAGGAACGCTTCCAGGCAGGTTTTGAAAGTCTCCAAGGAAGGAGACTCCACAACCTCCCTGGGCAGTCTGTGCCAGGGCTCTGTCACCCTCCCAGTGAAAAAGTTTTTCCTTATACTTTTGTCGTGGAACCTCCTATGCCTCAGCTTGCAACTGTTGCCCCTTGTCCTGTTATTGGACATCACTGAGAAGAGCCTGGTCCAGAACTGGACACAATATTCCAGACGTGGCCTCACCAGGGCAGAGCAGAGGGGCAGGAGGACCTCTCTTGACCTACTAACTACTCCCCTTCTAATACACCCCAGGATGCCATTGGCCTTCTTGGCCACGAGAGCACACTGCTGGCTCATGGGCATCCTGCTGTCCACCAGGACCCGCAGGTCCCTCTCCCCTGCGCTGCTCTCCAACAGGTCACTTGGTACTCCAAATGGTACTTGGGGTTGTTCTTTCCCAAGTGCAAGACTCTACACTTGCCCGTATTGTATTTCATAAAATTTCTCTACACCCAGCTCTCCAGCCTGTCTGGGTCTCACTGAATGGCAGCACAGCCTTCTAGTGTGTCAGCCACACTTCCCGTATCTTTGAAGTTCACTGCGCAAAAATACCATTGATTATATTGCTTATTCCAGGAAATCTTAAGTGACTTCAGTGTATGTGTTTGTAGATATTCATTGGTGTGTTGGGCTGGGATTATAATGAAAACCTGTCCTGTGCTTGTCACTGATTATTCAGACTTCAGCTAGAGATTACATGAGTTAAATCACACTCGATTTCTCTCTATACTTATTCAAAAAACAACAGACATAATTATAGACTATTTGATGTTAAAAGGGATCTTTGGAAGTCAATGCACACCCCCACTCCCCTCCTAGACAAGGACAATTAGGTTGGGTCATAGAGGTCTTCGTTGAGTTTTGAATATCTCCAAGGATGGGATACAAGAAATGAACACTTGTTCCAGTGCTGCACCAGCATCATTGTGAAGAAATTGTTATTTCTATCTGACTGTAATTTCTCTTGCTGTAACTTGTGTTTGTTGCCTCTTATTCTTGTGCTCTGTGCATTTTTGAGAAGAGCTTGAGTCTGTCTTCTTTATAATCTCTTTACAGAGTTGAAGACAGTGGTTAGACGCCCTTAGACTTGTCTTGTCCAGGCTGAACAGATCTCTGTGTGAACTGCTTGTACATCATGTGTTTTAGTTGCTAACCGTCATGGTGGTTCCTCTTTGGATGTATTCTAGCACATCAGTGTCTGTCTTGCACTGGGAACACCCCCAAATGGGCACATAGTTCAAAGTCAAATTTCACAAGCATGGAAAAAGAGTGATCCTCCTAGCTGTCTCTGCCCAATCTGAACACCGAGTTGCTTCTCTTCAGTCATGTTATGAGGAAGGTACTGAAGGGAGTGTGCAGGCCCACAAGAGCTGGTCTAGCTTAGATCAAAACATCCTTTGCTCTTCTGGGTGTCCTGTCTCAGTGTGATGGAAATGTAGAGCTTTCTGCCTTCTACCAGTAGCATCGTACCTCATTGTTCAATACAACTCAGTGCATAAGAGGAATTTTTTTCCATTACCCAAGTCTCGGTTGCCTGATGTTCTGGCGGGTGGTCCCTGTGGTGTTAATGTCTAATTGGTTTAATTGCATTCTTTGAGTAACCCCATGCTTCAGGAAGCTCTCTGATTTAATCATGCATTCACGAATGGGTCTTCTTTCCAGGGCTCTTATTGGACAATAGATACGTGTCCAGATATATCTCGCAAGAGGCGGCATCCTCCAGATGATGATGTAAGTGTTGTTCTTTCCAGACAGCATGGAGCAGGAGGGAGAATTCCCTTCTTGTTCCAAGGAGTCCTTCCAGCACCAGACCATGGTACCGTTTTGGGGGCAGGGTGTACAGATGGGGAGAGAAAGGCTAGGCCTGAACGAACTAGCATGCGTCTCCTGCTGATTGGCTGTTGTTGCTGCTGTTCAGTAGCAAAATTGATCTTGTTTAAAGTCCTTTATCCTGACTCTTCCGTGACTAAGGCTCAGTCCTTCTCTTTTCTAAGCCATGACTTCTACAGTGGAGGAACAGGCTTCCCGTCTGCAGTTTCACTTCTCCATCTGTTTTTGATTTTTGCTCCTTTCCTTTTCTCTTTCTTCCCCATCCACAGATACCACAAGACTCCCCAGAGCAAGAGGCCAGTAAAAGCCCCCGAGGGGCTGTTCCAGTCAGTACAGAAGCCTCTTTGCCACCTGAGGCCACCCCTCAGCTGTCGCTCCAGAGCACCACCCCCATTGCCAACTACAGTCAGGTGAGCAGCAGGGAAAAGTCTAGAAGCCTTGGGGCTGGACAGGGGGGGAGGAGGAGAGGAGGAGGAGTGCACGAACAGAAAAACAAAGTGGTTAGAAGAGAAGGAATTGTGAAAATAGTGACAGAGAGGCACGAATAAAAAGAAGGGAAGAAGCTGAAACTGCAGAGACAGAAAGTAAGGAGGAAGTGAATCTGAACATGGGGATAAGGATAAAGGCAGAATGGTATTAGGTAGCTGAAGAAAAAGCTGAGCCGGTGAGCTGCTATGGGAGGGTGGTGGTTGATTTTCCTCAAGGAAAATGGCATTTGGGAAGATTTTTTGAGAGATGAGCTAAGTGATTAGGGACATCAGTGCGTGTTCTACCTCTGTGTAGTCTCTAGATCCCTCTCTCAAGTTACAAAGCCTAGGCCTTAGCCAAAGCTAAAGGCCTTGCTTCTACCTTCCTCAGCAGGGTGCAGGGCCTGTGGATGTTGCCTCTACTGTAGCAGGGGGGCAGGGCCGTGAAGGCGCTGATGTGCCAGCCCCGCTGTACAGTGCCAACCATGACTTCAAGTTCTCCTACTCTGAGATCAACTTCCAGGATCTTAGCTGGTCCTTCCGAAATCTCTACAAATCCATGCTGGAGAAATCATCTTCTTCTCAGCACGGTGAGTAACTATATGCGTCATGTGGGGTGGGCAGGTATCTGCCCACACAGTCTTGTCCACTGATCTATCCTTGGTATCTCTCAGATCTTTCCTTGTTTAGGAGTCTGTGCAAACAGACTTTCCTTCTTTGGCATGCTGTAATTAGTTCTGGCAGGAGCAGATAAGAAATCTACATGTCCTTTATCTATTGCTCCCCCTAGTTCTCTCAGAATAAAGAGGATAATGATTTAAAAATACCTTGTGTTGATACAAAAGCAAATACTAAAATGGCAGAAGCTTAGAGAAATGAAGTCCTGAAGAAAAGCATGTCAGAGAAGTATTCAGAATCTGTCAGGATAGAAACCATAAGAGGAAGGGGATTATTGCATGTGGAGGTAATCCAAAAGGAGAGTGGAAAGTCGTCATTGCTCTGATCTGTTAAAACTGGGATTGTACAAGGCCTTGGAGAGTTGAGCTTTGTGGCTTGAGAGTGCGGAGAGCGAGCCTGCAATGCCGGTCATGGCTTGCATTTCTGGGGGTGAGGAAGCAACCACCAGAGGGCAGAACGGCTGCAGGAATGAGACGAGATGTCCACGGAAAACACTTCAGAAAAATGTACAGCTGTTGTTCCTGCCTTTAAACACTTCTAAATATTAGTCTGGTGTTAAATGGAATATATTACTACATGAGCCTCTCACCTATGCTGTGAAACATCTTCTAGTGCAGGCAATTTGCTACTTTAGGAGAAGCCTCCTGAACGTCTAGCTCCAGTGAAATAAAAATTTATTACTTTTACTGCTTTCATTATGCTGGCACTTGAGACTCCTAGTAGGAACCTGTTGTGTGAGGTGTTGTAGAATGAGCAAGCTACAAAAATGCAGAGAAGAACCTTGACTTATTGTGTGCCTCTGCTTGTAAAAGCTTAGCAGCAGCCTGTTTTTTTTTCTCCCCAAATCTTCACCTATAAGGTAGTCTAGGGAAACCTGGTGCTTTTGAGGAAACTTTGTGAGCAACCGTTGCATTGGGATGGCAGTATTCATCCTTTTGCCCCATCACAGTAGTAGGATTGATTTGGGATCTAGTGAAAAACAAGTTTGCTTGTGGATGCTCAAGTAAGGGCACGCAAAGTAAGAAATGGTAGCTCCAGTTAGTGGTATGTAGTGCCCTTCACTGTGATTTTTTTTCCCGGAGGATCCCCAACATAAGGGTAGAATGAACCAGGGAAGCAGACATAAGGGATACACTGAGCACCTGATGTGGGGAAGAATCGAGAATACCTGATGCCCTTGCGTGTAGGGGATGCCTGAAGTACAGAAGCACAGAAATGGCACACCCAGTGAGTCAGGAGAAATAAAAAGTAATAAAGGAGCCCTGATGCGTGCAATGTGCTCTGTGTACGAAAGCAGTATAACGTGTGACCTCTAATGATCTGTGCGAGAAAAACTGTTCAGGTTCCCAGCCAGGCTGCTTGTGAGATGGGAACTTAAGGAAGTTTTTGGTAACAGCAAGTCAGATTTATGAAGTTATCTGTTTTCTAAATGTTTTGTTGATTTAAGTTCGATTAATGGTGATTTCTAGGTAAAAAACATGTGCATGACCTTTCAGGAGAGCATGGATTACTTTGGTAAAATAGGAATAATAGGAAAAATCCAGGGGGAAATGTCAGTGCCTAACTCTGTACTAGAATTTTAAATCCTACTGGGGCTTTATTGTAGAGCCTTTTGTTTTGAACAGAATCTGGAACACAGCTGAGGGCATAACTGTACAGGTGATAGTTGTAAGCAGCCTGTAGAGGGAACTCCAAAAGCTTCATAAATAGCAGTATGAGCAGTGTGAAATTAGAGATGGATAATTTAAGCAGAGATCTGATCCAGGCAGCTCTTAAAGCTCTCTCCTCTTTTACTTGGCAGGTTTCTCTTCTCTCCTTGGTGACATGCAGCCCTCCAATCACAACTACTACATGTACCAGCAGCAGCAGCAGCAAGGCCCTTCCTCAGTGGGTGCTGCTCCCCCACTCCACACTCCAACCCCAGAGGGGTGCCCATCCCAAGGGGGAAAGCAGCAGGGTGGTGAAGGTTATGGCCCTCCACCAGTGATGTCCATGCACCCACCCCCAATGCAGCATGGAGGCTACCACCAGCATCAGCAGCACCACCCACACTCCCACCCACAGCAGCAGCCACATCAGCACCAGCAGCAGCAGTCACAGGCTTCAATCAACAGTGCTGGCTTTGGTGAGTCAGGGGTGACGGAAAGAACAGCTGGGGAATGGGAAGCAGTGAGGAGCCCCCAGACAGAAATTCCACAAGCCAGCTTTCTCTTAGCAGTGCCTGCACTGCATATGAAAAAAGGGTGAACGCCAGATATGATTGAAATCTGAGAGCAAAATTGCTTCCCTGCTGGAGGAGAGGAGGATCCATCCACACTGGGTTTGGGTTTCTCTTTAGATAATGATGCAGTCAAGCAGGATAAAGTCAGGGCCTGAATGAAGAAGGAGGCACCATCCCTCGTCTTCCAAGGGAGAAAGGATTTCTAACTACTGCAGCATCAGGCTCCTTGGTGAAGAGGGGCCTTAAGGGGTGGAGGGAAAGGATGGTCTGTACTGGGATAATCTTGTCCCCATTTATTCCAGCATTTCCCCCTGATTGGTGCTCCAATATTGATTCCCTGAAGGAAAGTTTCAAGATGGTAAACCGGCTGAACTGGTCTAGCATTGAGCACTCCCAATTCTCAGGTAAGTGTTAGCCTAGTGACTAGGACCAGTGACTCAGTGACTAGGGCTGTAGTCTAGAATAAGCGAGTGCTGTGCCCGGATCTTTTTTCAGTGTAACCATGTCAAGTCCATGGGCTTCTCAGTGACTCAGATCTCTCTTTTCAAATGAGGTGTCCTCCTTTATGGGTTCTGTTAAAGACCCTGAAGCACTGGAACACAGCGGGAATTTGGAGCAGGGGGAATTAATTCATAAAAGTATGTCAGAAAGCTAACTGAGATTTTTCCCTCCTACTCTTCCTTACCTGAGTCAGTGAGACAGATCCTACATATGGAGCTCTCCAGGAGTTTGGTCACAGATTCGAAGTGATGAAGTTGGGTTTGTGGGGAGAAGGTAGGATTTAGGGGTAGAAGACAGAAACAGGGAAGACCACGGTGTGAGTGCCATCTTTGACATTGTCCTTTGTCCCCTGCAGAGCTGATGGAGAGTCTGCGCCAGGCTGAGCGGAAGAACTGGACGCTGGATCAACACCATATTGCCAACCTCTGTGACTCCCTTAATCACTTCCTTACCCAGACTGGTCAGCTCCCTCATCTGGTTGGCCCACAGCAGCCCCCTCGAATCTCTGATTCTTGTGCCCTTAACAGTGGCAAACAGGAGCAATCCATGAACCAAGGTAATTAGGAGGGAGACTAAAATGACATGTAAACAAAGGCCTGATTCCGTGAATATCCTAAACCGTGTGCAGCCTTGCCAGGCAATGTAGCCCTGACCAACTTGATCCTAGGCTGTCAGAGCTGATCATAGCAACTCAGTTTCTTCTGGCTTTAAAGAATTAGGATGTCCTATGTCTGTGGCACAGACAGACCATTATTATGTGATGCATGCAACCTCTCCAGGCAGAAATATACTTAAAACGTAAACCCGTAAAAGGAGGAAGGGGTAGTGTGTTTTGTAGGTGACAAACAGAAAGGAATGGCAAGGTAGAGAGCTTGCTCTTCCAGATAGCAGGAGCTGTAAAGAAGAAAGCACTTGCACCCATGTTGGAGAAGTAGTGACTGGACAAGGAGTAGGAGGATGCACTCTGAAGACAGCACAGAGGATATCATGGTCTTGATAGAACTGTGATGGTGTGTGTCATCTAGTACTGAACTAAATGGATGATATTGAACCAGCCTGTGGCATTTCTGGATGAAAATTTTCTTCTTTTACAATAATAGAGAAACTCCTGCTGGTTCCAAGAACAAGATCCCTGGCCAAGCTATAGCTTGCAGTTAGGACCCAACAGCTGAACATCTCCTCAGTATCCCGTGGGTCTGAGTGAGTTGCTCCATGGCTGAGCTGCCACCCAGTCAGAACCAAGACAGCTGACCAGAATGTTAACAGGTTTTTGTTTTGTTTTGTTTTGTTTTATTCCTTTCCTTTCACAGTGAACTCCTATGGTCAGCCCCAGCCTCCCCATCTCTTCTCCGGGCCATCTCCTATGTATCAGATTTCTACCCAGGACTCTCCGGGATATAATCGCCCAGGTAAGGAGTGACATTAATGCATATTATACCAATAAGCATTAAAGAACTGGTTCCCAAGCCCTTTGTGCATTTCTCCCAAAGCACTTACTCATGAAATGGAGCACTGAGGGTAGAGAGGCGGCCTGGACTGCAGGGGACCCTCCATTTAGGGTCCTGCCATAGTTACGACAAGGTTTAAGATTTCAGTGGCCTGATTTCTTTCATTTCACATAAATAGTCTTCTAACTCAGCCTCACTCTTGGTTACTTGAGGGCAGCTTTACATTAGAAGCTTATGAAGTCCTTTTTGCTCTATCAGCTGTCAGCTCTAAGGAAAGTTAGAGAAAGGAAAGTTAGAGGCTGGAACTTAATCTCTCCTGAAGCTGCTGTGGAGAATTTCATAGCAGGCCACCTACAGGTATTGTTAAGTGCTGTCTGATGGAGAAACTTGTGCCAGTAGTGTTCTTGCTTGTTAGACTCTTGGTAGGGAGAAGACCCAAATGCCTTATGCCTCAGGTTGTGCCGGGGAAGGTTTAGACTGGATATTAGGAAAAAATTTCTTTACTGGAAAAGTGGTGAAACAGTGGAACAGGCTGCCCAGAGACGCGGTGGAGTCACCATCCCTGGAGGTGTTCAGAAAACGTGTAGACGTGGCACTTCAGGACATGATTTAGGGGTCATGACGGTGTTGAGTTGATGGTTGGACTTGATGATCCTAGAGGTCTTTTCCAACCTTAATGATTTTATGATTCTTTTCCCAAGGGCCCACTGTGAAAAAGCGTGATGTTTTTCATTCTGACTGTTTTCTTTCCTTTCTCTCCTTCTTGTTTTTGGCTCAGCTCACCATCTGGTCCCTCGGCCTCCAGGGCCTCCTCCAGGCGCCAATGAGGAAATCCCCGATGATTTCGACTGGGACTTGATCACCTAGCGAGTTACAGACTTGATAGCCCGTCCTTTGTGAAGGACGCGGGAGGGGAGGGGGACATGGGGTAAATGGTGCCAGCACCACCCT